TTTCTTATATAAATATGAATGAAATCAAAAATTGTCTTCATGTGGTTTTCTTAGAAAAACCGTTCCAATCTATATTGGGAATGACTGTATACCAGATCAAATTCACTTAGAAATTTTTCACTTTGGGTCGAATAGAACAGTCGTTTAAATTTTTTTATAATTTTAATCAACTAGCTCAAAATTGATTTTTTATAACAGAAAACTATATTACTTATAATTAGGTAATATTATTCTAGACAATGTAAGATCAGAAAATTTTATTTTAAAATTATATTTATAATTAAAAATAAAAACACAAATTAATATACACTTACGTGTCGTATGAGTTCCCCGACCATACCGTTCCAGCCGTGGTGTGAGTTGGTGTCCAGACCGCCGTACTTGTTATCCCGAACCAATCGGAGCTCGTAATTGATTTGCAAGTGATTTGAGATGAGGTCCGCCAAGTCTTTGCTGTAGCCCTCGAAACGGTTGTTCCCCTCGTTTACCACACCTTTCTCCTGGGCTTTCATCATAAGGTACGGCTCCTCCTATTTGGACAGACAGTTTGATAGTGAGTGAGTGAAAGCGAAAAACTTAAAAACTGACCAGTATAGATGTGACAATGTAAGTTTTATTATCAAACTTGGTGTTTTCCTGGAGCACCCGGTGATATTTAGCCGGCACAATGCTCAAACCCTTTTCCTGTGTCCACACAGCAATCTATCAAGGTATTTAAAATCTTATTAGTCAAAATTAATTAAAATCATTCATGGACATTTAGCGTTAATATATTTTAAACTATAATTTTTAAATTAAACGATTTTGTGAAACTATTTAAATATTTAGTCTATGATTATTGGGGACTAAAATATCAAACGATAATTATATTTTAAAACTTCACGATAACGAGTAAAAAATTAAATATAAATAAATACCTTGGCCATTTCACTATTAATTGTCATTTCCACGACATCGACTGAAAAGTTTGATCTATAACCCAATTCATCGAAAGCCAATACCCCGGTCAAGCCATTTATGTTAGTCTATAGTAGATTAAAATTTTTAAAATAGTTACTAGATTATGTTGAGAAATGTTTATACGAATATACAGCACCTTCATCATAAATTTGCGTATTTTATCACCATGCTCCCATTTGGAAATGGGCTCCGACCTACAATCGATGCCCTTTGCACCGCTATTATACATTTCACCACGGCGAAAGTTATTACGAAAAGCCTCGGGGTGTCGACTAAATAGCCGTTGATATGTGTCCAGTAGTACCTTGGCACCGTCATACATCATGGCCGCATCTGCCTGTTAGCCAGTACGTTTATTAAAATAAAAATTAAAAATGTTAATGTAATTAATAATATTACTATACTAACAAATAGTCTTAATTTTTTGTGATTTTAATCATTTTCTCCAAATAATCAACATTTTTGTGAACTAGATAAATTTATAAAACTTTAATTCTAATATAGTTACAGTTTTTAAAATAACATTCTTATTAAATTAAGCCTATTCAAATAAAAACAATATATTATTAGTAATTAAAACAAATTGCTTACACTGATCGAGGCCACTTTATTTTCTGCGCCATTCGCTATCATTACACCAGAAATAGGGTCTATTTTGCGCCAATGATTGAAAAACAATCGGAACTCCGGTGTCGACGGCTTAAGTATCCGAAAGCCGGTGATATTGACGGCTCCGAACTCCGACACCTTGTCATTGAGGTAGTCGTCCATCACTAGACTGGTCAGTAGGAAATGGAAGTTCCGTTTGCCCATGTAAATGTCCCTGTGCATATAATTTAAGTTGTTTAATAAATTAATTTTAGCATTTATGTTTTAAACTGTAATCTGTAATTTTTTTTATAAATAATTTTAATTTAATAACTTAAAAAATAGATTAAATGGGACAATGAATAGTAACTTTGTTATGATTATGCTAATTTTTGAATGTTTTTTAATATAATGTGTTTTTATTAATAATATAAAATATTTGTTGATTGTTCACACAGTTTAATCGTATATATTATTTTTTAACTTTGACATTTAATTTTTATTCATTTTTTATTAATTGCATTTATAGTATATTTTTGTTTTTATAACCCAATATTCAGGGCTTGATAATTTAAAATAAAATATGTATTTAAAAAATTCTTATATTTGTTGGTAAACTTTAGGAATATTTTTTCCCCATAATATTTTTTAATTTTAATAATTCAACTAGTTAAACATATGGTTTGATATTTTTTAACACGCTACTATTCCATTTAGCTATCATAAATATATAATTTGTTTCACTATATTTATTGCTAAAAATATATTAATTGGTAATTGTGATCATCGCTCTAATATAGCATGATACAAGTATTAGTAGCAAGGTGTGTGTTTTTATATGTGTGTTGGTCAGCCAACCACTGTACACACTACTATTACCAAAACCGCCACTGCCGTAGCGTGAGATCATAGTGCATAAACGCCAGTAACCAACTCAACTTGAGTTACAGCGCGTCCATAAGCAACCGGAGGCTCGACAAAGACTTCCGCTTGACCGCCCGGAGCTCTAGCGTCCGGTTTTGGTCGACCAATGAGAACAGGTGTTGCAGTTTCAGGAGTCCTTCAATATGAACATGGTCATGTAAAAATTATAATTTTATTGGCTGTTAAAGTGTTAATTAATATCTGTTAATTATTGTAATTTTAAAAATATTTGTACATGGTAATTTATCATAAGACATGTTTAGGACCATTACTAATATTTTTAATACTATAATAACTAGGCACTTTATTAATTATATAATTACAGTTTATATACACTGTAATAATATTTTCAGTATAAGTGATACTATTTTAATAATTTTAATACATTATATTCTACAAATTTTTAAAATATTAAACTAGCTACTTTTATAATTAGTATAAATTTAAATAACTAGTTAACAAAAATATAGATAAATAATTAAGCGATAAAATAATTACCCCGCATAAATAAATTAATTAGCTAGACAAAAGCAAAACAAAATTAATTCCTAATTCCTATACTCAAGAATATTCTGTTTACCAATAATAATACTATTAATGACATCTAATAAGTCTTATAAGGCAAACACTGGACCCAACAGTATATTTCAATCACTTATAAGTTATAACAACTCTAATACCCAGCACTACCAGTCCTATCAAAAATAAGCTACCAGTGCTGCTAGAGAGCACACACGTAGCCATAACCCACACACACGTAAAAGCAATAGCAATACAATTATTCCGTATAGAATTGCACATAGAGTTGGCAATAAAGTAAATGCAATTCTAATACACAATACGGCTATTGTTAGGCTGAATAAAAATAAGTGAGACTTTTATACCTTATATATATTATTAGATTTTATTGCTTAACATATTTTATTTCACTCTCTCCCTTTCTCCCTGACCCTATATCAATGGCACCGGTAGGTTGGCTGGTGAACACAGTGGCACTTATCACCAGTAAATCAATCCCATTCCGGTTATATGTGCTATTGTGCCGTTAATATACCTCCCATTCCCTTGAAATTTTGTTGCGAAAAATTGGATGCATTTTACAATTTTATTCAAAGCATGCGATGATATATTTGTTGCCACTTCTGGCGCTATGGTATGAATAATACATACCAGTGCTCTCTCTCTCTCTCTCTCTCTCTCTCTCTCTCTCTCTCTCTCTCTCTCTCT